TATGAGCTTGGGGAGGAGGTTGGGAGGGGACATTTTGGGTATACTTGTCGGGCCAAGTTCAAGAAAGGGGAGCTCAAAGGGCAAGAAGTTGCTGTTAAGGTCATTCCAAAAGCAAAGGTTTGGACTTTCTGTTTTTCCTGTTGGAATTGTGTCTTAGTTTGGTGTAAATAGTGATTAGTATCTGGTTCTTGATCTTGATTTTTTTTTTTGTTTTTAAGGTTTTTGACTTGTGTTGTGGTGAAGATGATCTGATCTGTTGGACTTGTCTTCATTTTTGTCTCTGAATTAATATTGCTTTTGTTAATTTCACGTGAATCGTTTGAAATCTGTTTCCTGGAAGAATGGTTTCGATTAGAACGCGTATTCTGTAACATTCAGGTGCAGAATGTCTGAAATGGTCTTAATTAGGTAAGTGGTATTTTTTGTTCACGAACTATTTCGAGTTGAAAAGGCTGGATTTTGACTGGCCTTGCTAAAAAAACTAAAAATTATGGGAAATAGTCAACTGATCAGAGATTGGCTTCTAGCTCTCACATTGCCTTAAGTGGTTGACTTCATGTGATTGGTTCTGTGAAGTGATGCAAGATTTAGCATCCAAGTGTTTTGTACTTTGCAAGTCAATGTTATAACCGGAGGCAGTGAAATGATTAAAGTATACATAAGAAATTGCCTATATTGTGTTGTAAGATCATGCATATTTGACCCTTTCAATTTTGTTCTTGCTTTATTACATTAAAAAAGAGAATTTTGAAAACTTCAACTGTTTACTTGACCTCCATGGCAATTAGTGGTGGACTTTCTTCATGCATCATCCATTACTAGCAGAGGATAAGGATTTGAATTCTGGGGGGGCTTTGAAAATGTATGCATCAATTCATTCATGTAATGATGCTAAAATATTGACTGTTGCTGTAGTAGACCCTCATGGTAGGCAATGAGTGTAAATAGTTCGAATTAATAACCTTTCTCTCTATTATCGCTAACTGTGTTCATAATTTTCTTTGCCAGATGACCACTGCTATTGCTATTGAAGATGTTAGAAAGGAGGTGAAAATATTACGAGCTTTGACAGGTCACAGCAATTTAATACAGTTTTATGATGCTTTTGAAGACCATGACAATGTCTACATTGTGATGGAGTAAGATTTGATTTGATGATTGTAGTCTTGGTTCATTTTTTACTCGACACCCGATTCACTGCCCTTAATACCTGAACTTTAGAGGAAAAATTTGAGCTGTCTTCTGTTGATTTTGATATCAGTAAATTATTTCAGAATTATCTTTATTGAAGCATTTACTCACTCTGTCACACATGGACTTATCCCAGGTTATGTGAAGGAGGTGAGCTTTTGGACCGAATACTTTCAAGGTATACTATTTCCTGTACATCTTCTGGAATTATGTAGTAAAGAATACATAGGAACATGTTATTTATTTGTTTGCCTTTTTTTTTTTAAATAAACTCTGCAATATGTCCTAAACATAACAATAAAATACATTTTTTTTTTCGCAATTTACAGGGGTGGGAAATATGCGGAAGAGGATGCAAAGGCAGTGATGATACAAATACTTAATGTTGTCTCATTCTGCCATCTTCAAGGAGTGGTGCATCGTGATCTTAAACCCGAGGTACGTTTTTCGTGCCATCTTGAAACATTAAGATCTATTTTATTTTATTTTATTTTTAAATTTATTTTAATGCTTCAAATGTGATTTTTCTCTAGTCTTGTTCCACAAATACCTGAAATTTCAAGATGATTTTTTGAGATCATCCCTTTAGTTATATTTGTAGATTCATCTTTTTTTCATATGTTTTCTTTTGCATCTATCAGTTTTAGCTTGTCTAACTGTAGCTTTGTTGCGGGCCCAGAATTTCCTATTTACATCCAACGAAGAAAACTCGCTACTGAAGGCCATAGACTTTGGTTTGTCCGATTTTGTGAAACCAGGTTTGGTCTAACTGTTAGACCCAATTCAAGTTCCCAAATATGGCAACTTTAGAAAAATTCATTTCAACTTTTGGTGCGCAATGATTTGCAGATGAGAGGCTTAACGACATTGTAGGCAGCGCATATTATGTGGCACCCGAAGTTTTACACAGGGCTTACAGTACAGAGGCCGATGTTTGGAGTATAGGTGTGATAGCTTATATTCTTCTGTGTGGCAGCCGCCCGTTTTGGGCTCGAACAGAGTCTGGGATTTTTCGGGCCGTTGTGAAAGCTGAGCCCACTTACGAGGAACAGCCCTGGCCCACACTTTCATTGGAGGCTAAGGACTTTGTAAAGCGCCTCCTGAACAAGGACCCAAGGAAAAGGATGACTGCACCTCAAGCCTTATGTGAGCATCTTTTTCGTTTTAGCCTGATTAAAAAAAAAGTAATGAAAAAAATAGAGATATGGACTTAAGGTTTCTATAAAGGAAATAATATCTGAAAGGTAGTTTTTATAACTAATTACTTGGTTGATGAAAAAAAAAAAAAGTTTTCTGATTCTGACAGTGTGTTGATTTTCTTTCTTATTCAGGTCATCCGTGGATAAAAAATGTTAACGGCGTAAAAGTGCCGTTGGATATATTAATATTTAAACTTATGAAAGCTTACATGCGTTCATCTCCCCTAAGGAAAGCTGCTTTACGGGTACGTAACACATCTGTAACCTATGAGTTTGTGTGTTTATGGGAATATTTGAAGAACAATGTGAAAATGTGGCTTTTAGCAACTATCTTTTGAAATATGAGTAAGTAAATCTTTGAAGAACAATGTGAAAAAATTCTGGTCAAACTCCTATCTTGTGAATGCAAAAATTGCTGAATGTGGTATTTGACAACTCCAATGGAGATATTTATTTTGCATTTTTTAAATTCTTTATAGTTTTCTTTTGCTCTCATGATGATTTTTGGATTGACTTATTAATGTTGAACAAACAACACTGAGTAGTAACTAATATGTGCATGCAAATGTGCATGAGAGAATGGGACTGAATCATTTTCATTGAGCAAAGTGTCATTTTCATTTATATTTTTGACTTATCTTCTGTTTGGTCAACTTAAATGTTTTCAAGATCCAATGGCTTATCTTATACGCATTTCTTAATTATTATTCGGATTTAAAATTTTTTTGCAGGCTTTATCTAAAACTCTGACTGTAGACGAACTCTTCTATTTAAGAGAGCAATATGCACATTTGGAACCAACCAAAAACGGAACAATTAGCTTGGACAACATTAAAGCGGTTGGTATTTTGCTTAACTGTCGTAAAAAAAGAGAAAAAAAAAATCACTACAAATTTAAATGAAAACTTGTTCAGATATTTTTATTTTCTTCTGCATCAGGCCTTGAAGAAAAACGCTACTGATGCCATGAACGAGTCACGAATTTATGATTACCTTACTTCGGTGTGCCTTTCTGACACTATGGATTATCACTAATTAACTATACATTTTCATAAAATTTAAAATTCTAGCTCTGATTTATTTTGTTTTTTTAATTCCTGTACAGCTTAGTGCCCTCCAATATAGACGAATGGATTTCGAAGAATTTTGTGCTGCCGCAACAAGTGTATACCAATTAGAAGCTCTCGATAGATGGGAGCAACACGCTCGTTGTGCCTATGAACTTTTTGATAAGGAAGGCAACCGAACTATCATGATCGAGGAATTAGCTTCGGTAAATAACAATTTATATTATTTTATTTTTTAATCGAATGATTTAATAATTAATGACTTAAAATTGTTTTGCACTCTCTCATTCATGCAGGAGCTTGGACTTAGCCCAAGTGTTCCAGTTCATGCAGTTCTCCATGACTGGATTAGGCACACAGATGGAAAGCTTAGTTTTCTTGGATATGTTAAGTTATTGCACGGTGTTTCTAGCCGATCGCTTGCCAAAGTACACTGAAACTATTGGGAATAATTTTTTTTCACTCTATTTATTTACCTTTCGCCTGATGATCTTCGTGGAAAAGAGAAAAGGCAGA